TGCTCTCTAAAGCAAAAGCGTATCATAGAGGTTATTTTTATGGTCATGTGTTCCAAACATGACTAAATTTGGCTACCTGGAGATGGAAAAAGTGACAGTAATAGGCTTTAAGTTTAAACTTCATATTGTGATACCCTCCTTGTAGGGTTTCCACTATAGTTACATCCATTCAGCAAATACTTGAGTATTTTCTATGAGACAGTACTACTAGGTAAATAGTGTGGGGGAAAGTGTTAAAAACATCACTGTAGGTTGAGGAGCTGGCTCAGTGAATGAGGAAGTCCTTGATGCACAAGCACAAGGACCTGAGTTCAGATCCTCACCACCCACATTTTCAAAGGCCAACATGTGTGCCTGTGACCCCAGTGTTGGGGAGTAGGTAGAAACAGGCAGATATCACTGCTCAAGGGCAGCCAGTTTGGTCAAAATGATGAGCTCCAATTTCATTGAGAGTCCTGGTCTCAAAAACCAAGGTATAGAGTGGCAGAGGCAGAGGAAGACACCTGATGTTGAACTCTATGCACACATACACCTTGCACACAGATCTTCACTCTCACTCTCATGGCAACTTATATTCTCGAGAGCATAAGGCATCTCCGTTCATCACAGTTTTCCCTGAAAGGCAACTTTTAATGGCAAAGGAAATGACCAGGACCTTAGTATATGGGGTGTGAACTTGGTAGGCTAGAACTAACATACCATAAAAGAGAACTGCTGAAGTCATAAAAACTGATTTTTAAAATAAAAATGTTTAGGTTTTTTGTCTCTTGCTAAATTTGATGTGACAGCTTCCATCCCAGTTGAGAAATGCTTAGCATGAAGATTCTAGAAATGCCCGATCTGGACTCATTTGAATGTCATCAGTAAAGAGAAGAGGTGTAAGAAAGGATGAGAATCTGAGAAACAAGTGCTCCCGACAATGAGGGATAGTCTAAATCTCCAAGGGCAGTTAAGAGCGCAGTCAGAGCCACCCTTTTTCTGTCTCTCTCCCCATCTAGCTGATCTCCTCTAATTATAGAACCAGCCCAACTAAACAACCACTTCCACTCATGATTTCAATCCTTCCCAGTACGAACGGACACCAAATGCCATCCAAATGCAGAGGGTGAAACCATGAAACCATGTACACATAAGCGAAGACACTGAGAGCAGTGAAGGGTGAAGAGGAGAGAGTTCTCTGGGGACAACAGTCTCTCTTCTGGCTTTCGTAAAATCGTCTATGCTCCCTTTTATAGGGAGAATAAGAGTTTCTGAAACTTCAGGAATCAGCTGTGCTGTATTTGAGGGAAGTATTGGATGCTCCGAAAGTCAGACTCAGGGCCAGCGAGATGAGTCAGCTACCGAGCCCAGTAACCCGAGGACCCACATGGCAGGAGAGAAGTGACTCCTGCCAAGTCGTCCTCTGACCTTTATGAGCATTCCATGGAATGTGCATGCACTCAAGAACACACATAAAGACACAATAAATGAGTGTGATAAAGTTCTTTAGAAACTAAAAGAAGACTCAGAAGCTATGTTAAATACAAAACAAATTTATTTGACAACGGGAAAGGAGACGGCGAAACAGCGCATGTTTGTTTCTTGAGCAAATGCATTTAAAGCTAAGAGAAAGAAGACAGGGAAAGGAGGGCAGCGGGGGCAGGGTGTAAATTAAGTGCTTTTTTATACGCATGTATCAAAATATCACAATGAAATTCACTATACTGGAGAATTCCTACACACTTTAACAGTGGCAGTGCCCCGTATTGACTGTAAGTACCATAGGCCAGCACTATCCTGCTTCCTTTTGAGGCTTCGGAATTTAACCATGCTCTAAGTAAGTAGAAAAGACTAGAAATAACCCAAAAGTTACAAAAAAAAAAAAAAGGCAGAGAGAAAATATCTACCACATACTCCTTACATAAGAATTTCTTCTTGCTGGGTGGTGGCACACACCTTTAATCCCATCCCAGCACTTGGGAGGCAGAGGCAGGTAGATCTCTGTGAGTTCAAGGTCAGTCTGGTCTACAGAGTGAGTTCCAGGACAGCTAGGGCTGTTAACACAGAGAAACCCTGTCTCAAAAAAAAAAAAAAAAAAAAAAAAAGGAAGGAAGAAAAAAGGAATTTTCTTTTCTCACCAGTGAGGGGGTGGCGGGAAAGGAACCTTAATGTTCTAGAGACACTAGAGAATCCCTCAACATTCTGGCATTCTAGACAAAAACAGTCAATTCAGAAGTAATGTGTAAAGCTTACAAGCAGTAATTTTTTAAATTATTTCTAAGTAAGTTTGCTGTAGTCCAGGTCAACAAAACACTAGAATTCTAATTCTCCAAGTATCTCATTAATCAGTACTTAGTATAAATATTATATTTTTGTATTTTACAATTGAGAATTAAATTAGAAACAAAATAACAAAAATAGTCCTATCTGATTAGATGCATATATCGGAGCTCTAAAATTCTAAATATTATGCTATTTGTCTAAAATCTAAAAGCTGCTGATAGTCTCTAAGGAGTTTCTCTGATAATTTAGGCTGGGATGCTGACATCTGCCCCGTGTATGGATCAAGTCCTGCTTGGACACCACCCAGCTTTGCCTGAAGTCTTCCCCAGGGCTGTTTTGGAGGTTCTGATATCTATGTTCAAGGTTAGCTTCTTATCAGGAATCCACAGGAACAGACTTTCTCCTCATTGAAGGTGGTCTCTCTAACACACTCATGACTTTTCTTTCCTACGGATGTTGGGTTTCAAGGTGCCACAGTGCCCTTGCCTCCTGAGTTTTAACATGGAGGTCATAAAGGTGCACCTAGTATGTACTAAGGGGAAGAATTTTCTTTGGATATTTATTATTCTACATATCTGTATTTAAAGAATATTTTAATTTTTCCTTTGGGACAGGGTCTTTCTACATAGCCCTGGCTGTCCTGGAACTTACCATGTGGACCAGACTGGTCTTGAACTCACAGAGATCCATCTGCCTCTGCCTCTCTAGTGCTGGGATTAAAGGTGTGCACGATATACAGTTGAATATTTTAATTCTTGAGGCAAATTAAGCAGGATAAATTGATACTAAATTTTAAAAACTCACAAAAAGATGATATAGTTTGAATCATTATTGTGTATTTTGAAGAGTATATATCCTGTAGCAAAATATCCCAAGAGTCCCAATAGAAATAGAAACACCCAGAGAAAATATCTTCTATTAGAAATTTCAGATCTTTAGTAGCAAAGAGGGAAAATGTATGTGGTGTTTATTGTAAACCACGTAGGGGTTTCTTCCAAATGACATATTACAGGTATATGCTAGACATAGTTCACGAATGATGAAAAAAATCAGATCAGGGACTCTTGTCAAGTTGACATGATGACTGTGTAGAGGGCGCATAGGCAGAAAAAGCAGACAGGAAAGATGAGCTAGTTAAGAGGCCCAAAGGCACGCCTTTAATCCCAGCACTCGGGAGGCAGAGGCAGGCGGATCTCTGTGAGTTCGAGGCCGGGCTGGACCAACAGCCTCCAAAACAATACAGAGAAACCCTGTCTCGTAAAAACAAAACAAAACAAAACAACAACAACAAAAAAACCAAAACAACAACAACAAAAAAAGAGGCCCAAAGTTCAGGTTTTTAAGAATAATCCAAACCATCATAATTGAAGCCTTCCAGAGACTACTCAGCCTGTGACTTTCACTCCAAGTTCAAAGCCATAGGCAATGGTCCTTAAAAGTTGCATAATTAAAGCAGCTCCCAGTTGAAGGGCAAATTCCATGGAAATTCTTTATCTCTCACTGAGCTCACTGTCACTAAGGTACAACGCCAGCATAAGCCATATTTCTGTTAGCAACATAAACAACATGGGAAAGCACATTTGAATACGTGGAAACTTCATGATTCTACATAATCATGTTGTCAAAACAAAACAGTAAGCAAAATAACTGGTTTGGATGGAGATACAATAATGCATCACTTAGCACATGTGTGATGCTGGCTGAACTGTTTTATTATGTGCTAAGCTAACTAAACTAAACCAGGATTAATTCTCCATAGTTTCATTTCTCCTCCTCAGAATTCTCCTAGATAACATGCTGATCTGAATGAGGTTCAGATTTAAGTCAAAGACAGGATGTAATTTCTTTGAGAGAATTCTACCCTCTAACTGTGCAACTAGAGCTGTCTGCATTGGGCTCAGTACCATCCATCATTACATGGGTGCTTAGTAGGCATGCAGACTGTTAAGGGCAACTGGAAATCTTCTCCAACAAATAAATTTACCTCTTAAAAAAGCCCAAACTGGTCTAGGGGTGTACTTCAGTTGCTCTCATTTTCCTCACATTCATGCCACCAACTAGGCACATCTTCCTTAAAAGCCAGGTGTGGTAGTGCAAACCTTGTAATCCCAACTTCAAAGGATGGAGTAGCACCATATAGAAATGATGGAAAGCTTTTCTTCTATACCCTCCTGCTAGTAAGCTGTAATGACAGACAAAATTAACCCAAAGGCTGACACAGAAAAAAACACTCTGGTAATAATAAACTAGAAGGAAGGAAGGAAGGAAGGATGTGTAAATGAAGACAGAACAATGAGTTTTTATCTTCAGATTAAGATTAAAGAAGAGGCCAGGTTTAGTAGTACTGGCCTTTAATTCTAGCTCTCAGGTTGGGAGAGATGGATCCCTCTAAGTTAGAAGCCAGACTGTTCTACATAGCAAGGCCTACCAGGGTTCCACAGTGAGACTCGGTCACACACACACACACACACACACACACACACACACACACACACACAAAAGGATTATTGAAGATAATTCACTTGCATTTCTGAGGCCTTTTGACAAAAATATAATTAAGAATTTATGAGCATTTTTTCTAGTATATTCTTCAGTTCTTCAGACTGATGTCTTATTTGGATGATGATAATTTGGTGTAAAATGTATGTATTTGTCTAAAAGAGACTGGAACTCAGTAAAACATTTAATAGACTAGAATTAGAATTAGTTTTCAGTTAGGACAAATTAACAACAAACAGTAAGATTTTAAAACAATGTTTTATTTTTTAAAATACTAATTCTTTGAGAATGTGTACAATTTATTTGAATCATATTCACCTCCCCAATACCTCACTTTGTATCTTCTTTTTAAAAAATCAATTTGTGTTGAATATTCTTGAGTATAAGCCTGCCCTGGAGTGTGATCCGCATACCAGGAATCACACCCTTGAAGAAAATCGACCCTTTCTCTTCCAGCAGCTATCAAATGCCAATAGCTTCTCAGCTAGAATGTGACTTGATACCCACTTTAGCACTCTCAATGCTGGAACCCTGTATGGGATTCAAGCTCATGCAGGTGTTGTGCATGCTGTCACAAACGGCTATGAGTTCACGTGTGCATTGTCCTGCTGTGCCTAGAAAACACTTACAATCTTTCTGCTCCCTCTTCTGCAATGATCCCTGAGCCATGGCAGGGAGGAGTGTGATCTGTCCCATTTAGGACTGAGCATTCGAGTCTCTAAGTCTCTGCATGCTAACCAGTTTTGGGTTCTGTATTGCCATCTACTGCAAAAAGCTTCCCTGAGGAGTGTTGAGGGGAACACTAATCTAAGATATAACAATAAGCCACCAGAAATCATTTAATACTATGTTAATTTATCAGAATAATAGTAGTAGGTTACCCCCTAGGGCCCATGACCTATCTGGACTCAGGTTGTTGAACCAGACAACAGTGTCAGACATGGGTTCCATCTCATGGATCAGGCTTTAAATCAAATCAGAGAGCAGCTGGTTATTCTCATAACATTCATGGGCACATCTTAACAGGATGGCCATTATTATAGCTCCCTGCAGTCACGGCTAGTTAAGAATGACGATTGTTTTCCTTCCAGTAGCATGCATAGCATCTTCCAACACTACGAAAGCTACTCAGAAGGGATGATGTTTCCAGGTCCATACCACTTCGTTTCTCTGTACATAAAACAATTTTAAAATTAACATACAAAAATGATTTTCTAAGATCATTATACTATTCATGTCATACTTTATAAAGTACTAAAAAACATATAAAAATTTAAACATTCTTAATTTGCTTGTAGCATATGAAAGATACTTAATATACATATTTGAAAGTTTTATAAAAATATTTTCCCATAAAGCGATACAGTAAAGTGAAGTTTTTGGAATACAGTGATACAAATTTAAGAAAACAATTTGAATGCATTGAGTAAGTTCCCAATTACCCACTAAAATGCTATTAAAATAATTTAGTTAAATTTTATATGAATTAGTTCAAATTAGTACTTTAGAATTACTGTCTAGAATTGGAGGGATACTATAACACCTTTCAGAGGTACATCCAAATTATTCACACAGGATTGTGATGAGTTTTGCTACTACATGCACATTGAGGCTGTTGCCAAGGAGACGGTAACGCTGCTTCACTGTTATCTTCTCGGGAAATCCTAGAAAACAGAGGTGATGTTTACAGTACAGTCACTTGCAATCCTAATTTCCAGAAATAAAAAATACCTTTTAGTAAAGGCACAATGGTCATTTTATAAACACATTCACATCTTCTTGGCAATAGCACAGTCAATGTATTACCTTGTGACACTGTAGTTGTGCTTGTGTTAAGCATAAATTGTCTAAGGACACAATACTCAGAAAGTATACTCATAGCTAAACACAAAAGATGGCAAATTGCTAATATGACCATGAAGTTTTACAAATAAATGAGAATTTGGAGGCCTGAATACTGTGTAACATCATGCTATAATGTTAATACAATGAGGTGAACTATGTGCTATTACACTTTGGAAAAATGGTTGCTCCTATTTTTCTTGGTAAATTTATTTATTTAACAACACTTTTACAGAGCTCTACTTTACATACCATGGAATTTACACTTTAAAGTATATGCTTCATGCATTTTAGGATAGAGTTCTAAAACATTTTCATTACTTCAAAATAAAAAAAAAACCCTTATACCCATCAGCTGTCACTCCCTGTTCCTTGTCTATGTCCATTCCCAACCTCTACTTTTAGATGCCACTACAGATTTGGCTACCCTAATTTCCTATACATGCAATCAATGGATATTTTTATGTCTGTCTTCTTACAGTTATATTGTTAAGGTTTATTCACATTATAGCAAACTCCAGTACTTACTATTTATTACTTAATAATATTTAGTGGATAAGACAAACTTCATTCATTCGATGGTAAACATTTGAGTTGTTTCTACTTTGGGATATTATATATAATTATATATATATTGTGGAAGCTTATTCTAGGATATTTATCTAGAGGTAAAACTGCTGAGTCATATGTTATTTTAATACATGCAGAGAGGCTAGCACTGTTTCACTTCACTGGTAAATATGAAGAAATATTTCACTGTGGTTTTACTTACATTTCTCTAATAACTAATGATGCTTAACAGCCTTTTCATGTGTTTATTGGCTATTTGTCTATCTTCTTTGAAGAAATGTGCATTCAAATCATTTCACATATTTATGTTGGATTATTTTCTTTTTATTGCTGAGTTGTAAGCGTTCTTTATATATTCTGTAGATAGTTGGTTTTCATAGTTTGCTTCCATAAACTGATTTTCTCTGATTTAGTTATTCAGTGTGATTTGGCATAACAAGGGAAGCAAAGGAAAACTAGACAATAAGATAAAGGAAATAATAAAGAACATTAAGAATAACTATGCTCATAGAAGCATTATTTATGATAGCCAGAACTTAGAAGCAACCTAGATGCCCATCAACCAAAAAATGGATAAAAAAATGTGGTACATTCACACAATGGAGTACTACTCAGTGGGAAAAAACCACAATGACATCTTGAAATTCACAGGCAAATAGATGGAACTAAAAGAAATCATCCTGAGTAACCCAGACACAGAAGGAAAAAGATGGCATGTACTCACTCATAAGTGGATATTATACATAGAGTAAAGGATAAGCAGCCTATAATCCACAACCCCAGAGAAGTTAGGATATAAGAGGAACCCAAGAGAGGCATACATGGCCCACTCCCTACCCCCGGAGAAGGGAAAAGGGACAAGATCTCCTGAGTAAATTGGGAGCATGGGGGGAGTAGAAGGAAGGTAGGAGAAAGAGGAGAGGAGAAGTGGAGGGGAGAGGAGAACATGAGGGATCAGGAAGGTCAAGCTAGGAGTCAGAACAGAAGAGAGCAAGGAATGAGGTACCGTAATAGAGGGGGCATTATAGGTTTAAAGAGAAATCTGGCACTAGGGAAATCTTCAGAGATCCACAAGGATGACCCCAACTAACAATCTAAGCAACAGTGGAGAGGCTATCTTAAATACCTTTCCCCTATGAGATTGATGACCTTAAATGCCATCCTAGAGCCTTCATCCAGTAGCTGATGGAAGTAGAAGCAGACACCCACAGCTAAACACTGAGCCAAAATCCTGGAATCCAGTTGCAGATAGGTTGGTGTGATGAGCATGGGGTCAAGACCATGCTGGGGAAACCCACAGAAACAGCTGACCTGAGAAAGTGGGAGTTCACAGACCCCAGCCTGACAGCTGGGGAACCAGCATAGAACCGAACCAGGTCCCCTGAATGTAGGTGTCAGTTGCAGGATCTGGGCAGTCTATGAGGCCTCTGGCAGTGGAACCAACATTCTCTAGTACACAAATGGGCTTTGGGAGCCCATTCACTATGGAGTGATAACTCTCTTGGCCTAGATTCACAGGGGAGGTCCTAAGTCCTGCCCCAAATAATGTGACAGACTTTGATGATCCCTCATGGTAGGCCTCACCCTCCCTGAGGAGTGTATGGGAGCGTTGGTGGAGGGAGAGGGACCTGGGATTGGTATGTAAAATAAGATTGTTTTTAATTTAAATAAAATTAATTAAAAATAATAGTACAATTTCATATATTTGTAATGAAGGTTCATTAGGTAAAGTAGCTTCACCAATACTATACTCTATATTAACTGTATAATAAGATAGCAATAGCTACTTCAATAAAGCTGTCATCTGCAATTAAGCATGACTGTAAAGCTTATATCCAACAGATAGTGAGCCACAGGTAAGCACATTACTAATCTCAAAGATTAGTTCCAAAAACTAGAGAAACAAATGTGTTTACAAATAACCTTTTACACTATCTCAGGGAATGATCCTTCGCAATATTAAGACTACACTAAAGGGAAGGGTGAGTTTAGAAACAGAATTTATTTTAGAGAGATATTAAAATCCAAACTAAGTGATGGAAAAATTATAGTTTCTAAGTTAAAATGTAATTTTTAAAAAGCACAGATATATTAAAGTAATGATAGTCTTCAAAAACAAAACCACACAGAATGTGTAAGGTCAAGGCGGCTGCTTTCTCCCAGGAAAGGTTGTGTCTCTCTTCTAAAGCCAGCTAGTCACAGACATGTTAGTTGTCGGTCACAAGACACCAGGACAAAATGAACAGAAGGATCGATATGAATCCATTATTGCCAGGGGACAAAAAGCTCACACCATGTCCATTTTTGTACCCACAGTCAATGCTGGAAGCACACATGAAAGATAGCTGTGTCATGTTCTATAATAGGATCTGGGAGAAATTGTCAACACAAGCAATCATATATTTTAAAAGAACATTCAACAGTTTAAAATATGTAACAATAACAAAAAATAGGCCATGAATTTGAAAAAGAACAAGGAAGGGACACATGGGAGGGGCTCAAGAGATGAAAGGGAAGGAGGAAAATGATGTGATTATATTTTAACCTAAAAAATGTTACAAATTAAATTGAATAAAAATTAAGACTTTTCATATGTATGTATATGTACATACATATATGTATGCATATATATGTGTGTGTGTGTGTTTGAAAAAAACTCAAGGAATTCTATCGTTTTTATCTCAAATTTCAAAACACAAAAGGTATTCATGAAATTTACAAAATGAAAAGTACCCATCTCTGGATCCACCAAGATGGCTCAGTGCCATTACCTAAAGACATGAGTTCATGAGACCCATATGGTAAAAACGGAGAACCAATTCCTACAATGTATACACACACATCATGGCAGATGCACATATGTATCTTAAAATTATTTCTCTATAACTTAAGAATTAAAATCAATATAATTTTCCTAGGACATTATATAAGCATTTAAATACACTAACTCAGTCAACTGCCATAATACCTCATAAAATAGGTGTTACAATTATCTACATTTTACAAACAAGTAAAGTAAAAGAGAAAAGTTTTTCTAAGGTAGAGTAGGTGAACAAAGATTGTAGCTTGGTCTAACTCTGGCCCTCTAAACCCCTTCCCGAGTTTCAGTATTACCATGGTGACCACACCTCTAGAGGTAAAATAGTCAGTGTACTGAGACTTAGGAACTCATTTTGATTAGACAATCAATAGCCTTTCTTTTAAGTAGTATGCTGGTTCAAAATATGAAAAAATAGTAACTAGGAAAGCAGCCTGGCAGCCAGAATTGAGTCCAACCCTCATCTCCTACAATTTTCTCCCTTTCTGACATGTACTAAACAAGGCAAGTCTGCTTTTCTTTAGTAACAGTCTCTAAAACACTGAGGATCGAATGAGATGACCAAAAAAGGTTTCTTAAATTAAAAAAACAGAATATAATTACAGCATTTTGCCTTCTATTTCCTCCCATCTACCTCTCCTATGCCCCATCCCTCTCCCCTTTAAAAAGTATGGTCTTTCTTTTTCAATTGTTATTGTTACACACACACACACACACACACACACACACACACACACACACACACACACACACAGCTACATTTGTAAGTACAAACTGCAACAATGATAAACTTTTAAAAGACAGGGAGTAGAAAATCAGCCTGGTAGCTGTGATTATGCTCACAGAAGCAAATACTGAGAGCAGTTAAGTGGAAAGCCAGCTTGTTGTCAGTGGACAAGAGGATTGGGTTCCAAGACCTCATCTGAGGTTTATTACTTAGAAACCTAATCTCTTTTGGCCATTATTCACCTTACAAGCATTCACCAATATTACAAATGTACTGGACTTAAAAAAGTCTCCCTTCTGTATTCAAATCCTCAAGCAAAATTCTTAGATTTCGTCCTCCTCAGCCCTGGAGGCATGCTGGGTAGCTCTAGTTTTCCCTTTGTCTGTCTAGCCAGGTATGGGGAATCTGAGCCCCCTTGTAAGAAAACATGGATCTCTTAGAGCTGAGAGTGCTGGTGACAATGAGACAGGGCAGGGCTTGGGGTCACTGTAAGCACACAGGGCAGTGTGCAGACTTCATGGCCCTAATCCCTGGATTTCCTGCACTGCGGTGGAGTTAGGACTTTGTCTTCCCTCTATCTTTGCTTTTGTTTGTGCATTCCCCTGCTGTAGATCCCCTGAAGCTCTTGAGTGCCCCTTACATTCCTTATAGTAGAGAACAAAGGCAAATAACTGATAATGTATCTTTGCCCAAGTAAAAAAACAACCACAAATACAACCCCTGCCCAACAACTGGCTAACTTAACTACCCTTTACTGTGAAAATGACAGTGGAGCCTAGCCGAGCCTGCTGGTACAGTCTGTAATCCCAGCTACCGGGGAGCTGAGGCAGGAGGATCATGAGTTTCAAGGACCACTTGGGTTTTTAAAAAGTAGGCCTGGTCAACTTAAACAGAACCTGTCTCATTATAAAAATAAACACAAAAGGAAGGGCAGTGGAATGCAATTTGGTGTAGCATACTTAAGGCCCTGAGTTAATAAAAATAACAGGAAAATAAGCCAATTGAAGGGTATTCCCCCCCCATCTCATATAGAGTGATCATGTTCAGACCTATGGAAACAAAGATGTAAATAGAAAGGGGGTTCTACCCACTGCCTGAAGGAATTAGTAATTGCACCTCAGCCTGAGTGGATTGACTCATTACTGGACTTAGAGGAAAAACAGGGTCAGGAGGGAACTGACTGAGACATGACTGAAGTGCAGACCAGTAGGAAAACGCCAAAGCTGCCACACAGAACGGAGGGAGAATTCATTCATAAAATACACAAGTGAGTTCCTAATGAAATTCTGAGAGCTTTAATAAAGGAAAGAAAGACGTGATCTACATGGATTCCACATACCAAATTCTGGAGGAAATCCCTGGAGATTCGCAATTTCTCTAGGTGTGAAATATCGTAGTTTAAGTGTTGACAACTTAGCTATCTTTTCTTCCGGAGGCAAATCATTAAGCGATTTGAAGACATTCTCAATCTGTTACAAAATGCATGAGAAATTAAGAAGTACTGTAGGACCAGACTTTGCATTAAGAGCAGTGGACAAGCAATCTGCTAGGCCACAAGGTAGCAGAATGTGCAAGTGTGCATCTCTATGCAGCAGCTGTACAAGTGGCTCAATAATGGCAACAGACTTGGAAAAAGAAAGGCTCACATTGAACAGATCAGGAAACCAAGACACATCAGTAAATATATAAATTGGAAGTTATAAAAACATATAGGAAGCTGAGTCAAATTAAGTCAATTTCATAATGCTAACAAGAAAACCAGTAAGTAAAAGAATAACCTCACAGAAAAGAAATTGTGTATGTATCATCAACATACATAGCCACTCTCAGCTGAACATTTAAAATTATTTTAATATTCTGAAATTAAATATGAAAATTAATGTTATTAAATGGAAAGTTTTGGTTTAAAAACATACATGGTACCTGTACATCTTCTGCAGTTTGTAACACTGAGCCTGTCCCTTCAATGTAGCTTCCATACCTGAAAAATTGACATGAATAATATATAATCCATGAATAATATACATAGATCCATATTTTAATTTAATTTCTCTCCTCTGTGTATGTATCCATGTGTGAGTCTGTGTGACTGTTTATGTATATGTAAGTGTGCATGCACACGCATGTGTGTGAAGTTCCAAGGACAACCCTGGGTGTCATGCCTGAAGCACAGCCCAGTGTTTTCTGGAGACAGGATCTCTCTGGTATCAAACACACCAAATAGGTTAAACTGGTCAGTCAGCAAGGCCCTGGGATCTGCTGGTCTCACTCCTCCAGAGCTGAGATTGCAGGCACATACCACTATGCCTAGCTATATTTGACATGTGTTCTGGGGTTCTAACTCTGGCCCTTCTGCTTATGGAAAACACTGTACTGACCAGAGAATCCACTAAGATCTCTTTCTAAAAAATATTTTAAATGAAAAAATATTTCTTGAATGACATACATTTATATTCTTCTGAAACAACTTTAATGATATCATATAAATATGCTTTGTGATTTAAAATAAGACAAAAGACATAATTCTATTTAAACTCAGAAACTAAATGTGGCAGTTGAGCTGTACAAACACCACTGAATGATGTATTAATGTCATATCTGCAATGCTACCTGCTAGAAAGTATACACTATATTACAAAGTTACCTGCCACATTAAACCAAATGCAACGATGAAATCATATTGCTATTATTTTTATAATGACTGAATTATAAGTCTTCTGAGCAGTGAAAACTCTGGCTCCCTAATTCTACACAGACATGGCTCACTGACACTGAGTTTAACTCTCACTAGCCCAGTATCCTTTTACTATCATTTTCATTTAAGAATTAATTAGTTTTAAAATTGTATAAGAAGTATAAGATCCTTCAGAAATGAAAAGTATAGAATTATTTTTCTATTGTTGCTTAGCTGGCTTTGCATCACATGAGCACTTTCTTTTCACAAGAAGGACGATTTAAACTACAGACTAGAAAAGTACACCAGGGGAAAATAACTGTTTCACACTGGCTTTTCACATTCAGTACACAGTTATGCATGTGTGTGCCATTTTTATCAGAAGAGACTGCCACAGTAAGGTTTCCTTTATGTCATCTTTATTACAAAGGAATATCAAGGTTGCTTTTTATTACAAAACTGATAAGTGCTATATTATGAGAGTCCTAAACAGAATCTATTGGACTTCATAACAGACAACAGCTGAGTGGAGTCTTTTTAAAGTAATAAATTCTTTCCCCTAGAAGCAAGGGAGCAGATCATAAAATCATCCTAAGTCTACATGGCCATTGGAAAGTAATTCCTTTTCCACATACTAAAAACTAGCAGGCAAAAAGTTTGAATTGTCACATCACACAACTGCCTACCCAATGAATGAAGTTGAGAGACATGAGCAAAATAGAGACAACATCTTTAGCTTTTTTTCCCTAAAAGGCCTAATTTCCCCATTATTCTAAGTATTTTTTTTTTTTTGGGTTTTACGAGACAGGGTTTCTCTGTATTGTTTTGGAGGCTGTCGGACCAGCTCAGCCTCAAATTCACAGAGATCCACCTGCCTCTGCCTCCGGAGTGCTGGGATTAAAGGCATGCGCCACCACCGCCTGGCTCTAAGTATTTTTTTTTAATTGTCAAAATTTGTCATAAGTCAAGAAACAACCCAAAGCAAAACACTAAATGTTCAACTACAGGTAACCAATAAGACAAATTATGATCCTCTTTTACCATGAACATAAAAAGGATTTTTATATTACCATGGCAACAATATCCAAAGAGGACTAGGAGTGACTATCCTCTAAGCCAGAAGCCACCATTTTGGAAATTCATCTGTGTCCTCTTATGAAAGATTCCTCCAGCTGGGCCTGTTGACTGTTTCTGCATCCTGGGGAGGGGTGGGGAGGGTCACAGACTTCACCTGCATATCCACTGCTCCCTACTGCCTGTTCTGTGGACTCTGCCTTCATGGCACTTGGTACTGGGGAAGATTAGTGTACACAGTCCAGGGAAGACTAGATACGGGATCCCCCACATGTGAGACACAGGCAAGCCATCATCCCTACTGGGTAAAGACTTTCCAGGAGCCGGGCGTTGGTGGCGCACGCCTTTAATCCCTTTAATCCCAGCACTCGGGAGGCAGAGGCAGGCGGATCTCTGTGAGTTCGAGGCCAGCCTGGTCTACAGAGTTCCAGGACAGCCTCCAAAACAATACAGAGAAACCCTGTCTCGAAAAACCAAAAAAAAAAAAAAAAAAAAAGACTTTCCAGGTGCAGCCTGCCAGGGCTCAGGAGTACCCATACTCCTTTAAGTAACCCCTCACCTGTGCTCCGGAAGGAAGCCCAATTAACTCACTGGCTCTCAAGAGTAAACTTTGGTGGCATCAAGTCTCAGTTTGTGACTGGGACATTAGTAACATGGCCACTGTTGCCACGGTAAGAAAAAGTTCTTTTATTTTCAACCTGGGAAGCAATATTAGCAATAACACCTTTGGGAGGCCGTAGAGTAGTACATTGACACCAAAGGCTGGTAAGAAAAGACACTAGATGTCCAAGAGACAGATGTAGTAGGGAGTTTTATAATCTTAGTAACTTTTGAATTTTGGACCATGAGAATACATTTAAAGACTTATTTAAGTTTTAGATTTAAATTGTAACTGGATGATTCAATTTTATTTCTTTAAACTAAAATATAATTTCTTTTGATACACTGATAGACACCACTCTGTAAGGTTTGATGTGTCTTACAGAAAGAAAGGTGGTAAAATTACCAATTCATGAACTACAGAAATCATGTTAAGACAAGTAACTAAGTTGTACAAAGGTCATTCACAAATGACCTTGTCTTCCAGGAACACTTTGTGGGTGGTGCCCAGAATGTGCTGCATGAGGAATGCTCACTCCTGTTCTACTGGCAATTAGGGAAGAAGTCAGTCTAAGATAAACATTTGATCAAACACTTGTTGTTCTGAGAAAAGCTAAAAGACAAGCTACGAAGCATGATTTGAGACACAAAATGGAGAGAACTGCTTTCAGACTTACCCTTTGGTAAAGCACATGGACCTTCTGGAAGTAGGCTTAACAATATCTAGTAAAAGAGCATATCGAAGCAGTAACTTCGGTGGTAAAAAGTACTGATTTGTGTTCTCATCTTCAAGAAAATCCTTTAGCATCTGCACAGACAGGTCATTGTCCTGCTGGTGCTTCCTGTCAATTTCTTCTGCAGTTTCAAGCTTAAAAAGAATGCTATCTTTTCCGGGATGCTGTGTACTGCTGCTACCAAAGCAGGTGCTTGGCTCAGGTCTTTTCACTCTTAATGTATTTTCTGCAAGTACTGCACTGCTTTGGGGCTGGAGAGTTGCAATTTTAGGAAACTCCATCAGTATCTGGCATTAAATTAAAAAACACAAACTGTCAAAAGTTTTATTTAAAATAAGAGATAAATCAATAGTGTCAACAGAACACATGGAAACCTTTTTAGTCTCTATAAGGTTGACATTAAAAAGACAGACATTGTGGTTTGCTTGTATTTTTATAAGTTGTCAGAAGTTGTTTATCATAAAGCCATACAGAAAGTAAGCTGCAGAGGACTTACTCCACAAAATTCCTGTTTGGTATGCTTATTAATGGAAAAGCTCACAATATATAAACATAGAAGCACAACTGGAAAAGAAGTTTAAAAAGCAATATTGGCATTGGAGAATGTGCATAGAACTAAAGATTACCAAGCTGCTTCTTTAAAAAGGAAATGCAACATCCTCAAACGTAAAACAAAACAGTGTTTTTCACTAAGAATATGTATGTCCCATGGGGGTGGGGTGGGCAGTGGGAAGGATTTGATTTGGAAACTCATGATCTCGAATAAACTTCTATTTTACAAATGAGAAAAATACCTAGGGAATTTTTAGTGATTAAGTCTTCCTTAACACACTTTTTACATTGTTTCTGGAACTGTCCAGTATGAGAAAGAACATCTGTCACAGGAGAGTCAAGACAGTAACTGGTCTTCACTAGCAGACTGACTAGCTGTTGAGCTCTACTGGTGATGGCTATGCAGAGCAAAGCTCTTTGAGCCACTGAAACTCAGGTTTCTCCCCTCATTTCTTATGAGAACACAAAATTATTCACCAAGAACCCCAACTTGGCAATTGAGAATTTATATACACTAATGATCAGCTTATACTAATCAGCACTACATTTTAACCAATTAAGTAATATTGGCATCAGGGAAAGTATAGTAAATATGTTTAAACAGACCATTTTAAAGTCAGCATGTTACATTTTAGCAGAAGTAATCGATGGCTTTAACTGGGAAGAGAAATGACAAATGTAAAAGTCAGCTGTCCTTCAAGTTATGGGGGAGAAAAGGGATAACAACATTAATGATAATTTTTAATCTTACAAAGCCTTTTTGAGTTTTAGTTTTATTTAGTTTAGTGAAAAAGTAAACTAAAGAGAGGAGAGAGATAAAAGTAAACACTAGGAGAAGCAGAGGCCTAGAAATGGACATGAAGATGACCTGTATTATAAACTCTATAGTTTATAGAAGCCCTAAGTAGTTACTGAGAAGAAACTGGAGAACTGAGACTCATTCACAAGTAAACAGAACAGCAGCAGCAGCAGCAATACCTGACCAGGGGCTTGAAAAGGTAAAGGCTCTGACTGAAGCTTTGCGATGAGAAAATATCGTAGCCTTGAGTTTGGAATGCCAAGCTGCAAGCAAAACAGAAAGGTTAGTTACCATATGAAACAGGGAGATTTGTAGCAACATCAGCACCTAGCATAAATAGGCAGAGAGATATGAACCTCTTGTCTGCCAGAGCAAATGCTGCTACTGATGTTTGGAAGACTTCTCTACAGATGAATGTAAGCCAGCTACATTGCTGCTCTGCACCTTTCATTGAATGATGGTTATCCCAGCCAATTCATGTATTCATGGGTCATAATTCACAAGTAAGAAGAAATAGAGACATTTTGTATTTGTTATTGACAATGTAATGGTAGTAAAAGCATTAAATTCAAATACACATATTCTTGTTACTACTTTTACTTTTAAAGAAGAGGATTTACTATATTCTAGAAGAGTCAATGATTTGAAATAAAGCTAAAGAGATCAGTTAGTTACACTGTCAGTTTTGACAATTCATATATTAAATTTTTAAATTAGATTTTCTTTTCATTTGTGAACAAAGAACTATATAATACAGCTAATGATAATAAGAAACTAAAAAGAACAATGGCAAACACAGCAACATTTACAAAGCCAGTCTTTCATATAACAAATGCTTTGAATTCCGAAATAAAAGAAACCAGTGTTTGCAACCTAATGTTATGTAACAAAAAGGAATTATAGGGCTGGAGAGATGGCTCAGAGGTTAAGAGCACTGGCTGCTCTTCCAGAGGTCCTGAGTTCAATTCCCAGCAACCACATGGTGGCTCACAACCATCTGTAATGAGATCTGGTGCCCTCTTCTGGTCTGCAGGAATACATGCAGACAGAACACTGTATACATAATAAATCTTAAAAAAAGGAATTATAATTAATATGTCCACTTTGCTTTCAATCTAGGATTACTGTAAGCACTGTGTCATGCTGGACACCTAATTCAAACATGTAAGACTCCATTTATTTTCAAAACCTGCAATTGTTTATTTTCCAAAAGAAAAATGTAGGAAACTTAATGAGTCTATTTTATGTACAAGCAAATCAACAAGCATGTAACACATTCTTCAGAAAGTAAGAGCCATGTCTGAGCCAATTTAACAATATATGGAATATTAAAAATAGATCTACTTTGTTTATTACATCAAATTCCCAGCAGGGGAAGCCCGTCAATGATCACTTGTGTAAGGGTTTGTAATTGTGGTACCTACGGAGGAAGGAGATAATAGAAACTCTTGATGCTGAAAGCCACAGGCTTCTATCGTTTGTATCAGCAGCCCTCTGCAAAGAGAAAAGAAGTCAGAGAGAAAAGCTCCCAGCCCTTGCTGAGATATGGTATCCTTATATAACTACATACACAATACTTCATCACCAGGAAAGACCCAACTCTACTCAAGCCACTTAGAATCATTACTTGAGAAATTGCATTTTATTTTATTTATTTTTGCAATTTAGGAAATATTTTAGTTTTTAAATCTTCTTTCATATATTACACTCTGACCACACCTTCTTCCCAATCTAACATATGCAAGACAAATATATTTTTTTACCTTGTAGATGATACTTCAAATCCTTTAACATTTTCTAAAAGAATATACTTGGGTAATTTTTGTAATCTAAAAACCGAAACAGACATAAATACAAATATTTCATTACAAAGAAGTAAAAACAAAATCACAACTTGTGAGAAATGGAGGTTTAAGTAATTTTCTAGATTTTTTAAATGAATTTTAAATCCTATTTTATTCATTTTTCCCAAGGCATGGTATATTTGAAAAAGTTTACACTGGAAGAGTGACTTCTCAGAGTGTGACTTTCTCGGGGATTTTGCACAGCACAACTCCAAGGCCTGCCATTCAGCCACTGGCTGCCACGTGGACATGGTGGCAGCGTTCACCAGCACTGGCAACATCTGCATGACTAGACTGAATAAACAGAGGCAACAAAACTGGTTACTGACAGTTCTGTCACTCACTATGGAGACAAGCATGACACTTTGAAACATTTATTGTCATTTTATTAGTTGCGACAAAAGAAGGGTGCATGTGGCAGCTGCTAATCTCTACAAAATGACAAACATCCTTCCATACTCACAGTTTTAAATTTAAGGTAACTTTACAAAATTTAAAATTTTACCTTGGGAGAATATCTAGAATATACAAGAAGCTATTAGTCCTTGGATCAGTCATATCCCCCTGTAGGCCAATTCTAAAAAAGCAAAGAAAACACAAAAAAAGTTTATCAAAAATTGTATATGATACCAAAAAGACTTAGTTAACTAAGAGAACTTTAAAAAGTTGATCTTCACCATAAGAAACAAAACAGAAAAGAAAGAAAAACAAGCTGGTTGGGTATGTAGTAATCTGGGACAGATGGCACTGGTGATAACCACCATTTCAGCAGACTAGACAATAAGAGATACTGAGATAATCTTGTCCTGTGTAAACAGACCCTTGATCTCAGGGTTTAGACAACCTAGGGTCAGCACATGGAATCTCGTAGCCCTGGGCTAGCAAACCAACCAGACAAAGTTCACAGCATGGCCAAGGTTCAAGTAGGAAGGAACACTTGGATGGGGTCTGAATAACAGGATCAAAGGGTCAGGGTCTCCACTTCAGCGCTCAGTAGCTTCATGGTCCTAAGCTACAGGGCATCTCTGTCAATCTATCAGTGAGTCTGAGGCTTATGGCTGGGGATTAAAATGGACTTAAACAGATTCCTCAGAAATCTTCAGCTTTTATATTGTCTCTTCCACCCAGAGTTCAGATGACAACTATAGATCAGTGCTGACATCAGCAGGGGAAATCAGTTTAACATACAGTGAAGACTAGGAGAGGAGATCCTGGGCGCACTGCTGCAGTACACACACTCAGCTGAATTCTGCTATCTGCACACTAGGCCACACTCTCCCATATGCTTAAAGCTACCTTCATATGGAATGTCCTCTGCCTTCTCTGTAAACCCCCACCCCGCTTTCAGACACAAATCTGATGGCAACTCTGGAAGAATTCCCCTCTGGGCATGACACTTGCCACTTTCTCCTCAGTGTTCTCATGGCACTTTCACAGTTCCCACAGTATCAAATGTCACAATCATATAACACTAATTTATGAGTCATTCCTTTCAATGATAAACTCCAAAGATCAGGAAGTACAGTATCAAGCATACTGTATGGCATATGGGAACAATAACCTTTAGGAAGATTAGCTTCCTCAAGTTCAAAGATGCTAAAAAATAGCATAAGAATATTCATCTAAATCAAAATATTTGTTACATATAGTACTTCAGCTAGTAACATTAATGCAAAATATATAAATTATTAATAAATAATGGTTCTGACCTTTGTCTAACTGTATAGTCATAGGGAAGTTAACTTTTCTGTGACTCAGTTTCTAATCTACAAGACTCTATCAATATAGCTACTTAAAATAATTTATTTAATAAATATTTTATTTAATAAAGAAAATGAATTTGGTTTAAGACACGATTCCTTAGGACACATTGTTAACAGTTACTATATAAATCTAAAATGAGAAATTATACTGTGGCTATGAGAAAACCTGAATTATAATGTTAATTTTGAGAAATACACAATTTGCAAACACATGCTAAACTAGTTTTCAATTTTTTACATAAGAAATATACAAATGGAATATTTCTTTTTTTTTTTGTTTTTGTTTTTACGAGACAGGGTTTCTCTGTATTGTTTTGGAGGCTGTCGGTCCAGCCCGGCCTTGAACTCACAGAGATCCGCCTGCCTCTGCCTCCCGAGTGCTGGGATTAAAGGCGTGCGCCACCACTGCCCGGCATGAAATATTTCTTAAGGAAATTAAGTTTCACTAATTAGAATTGGCTCTGAATGCTCAAAAGCTCAACAGTTAAAAGCAATGAAGGCAATTTGAAACAAAATAAAGTACCTTGGATATACCTATAACATAGTATTACACACTGTTGATCAAATTATCTTGCTCTTCTGATTACAATTGTCAATTCCTATGCTTGATGCTCATTTATAAATATGAGTGAATGAAAGGGTACATTTACAAAGTATTCTAAAGCTATGAAAGTGCAGCTTATGGTCTTCAAAGTTCTTCATTCTTGTCTTCTCCTTTCTTTCCTCTTTCTCTCCCCTTTCTTTTCTTATTTGTGGTGAACTGTGTATGTGTGTGTGTTGTGATTTGAACGCAGGGCCTCATGTATGCTAGGCAAGTATTTGCCACTGAGTTATACCCTCAACCCGCACATACTTTTCCACAATAGAAAATATTTATTATACATACCTTGTAAATGGTTGACATGGGGGGCTCATTAAAATCATATTGAAAGATAGCTTATCAAACTCTTCCAGTGAGATACCCTAAGGAATGAACATTTGGAAGAAAAAAGACATAGAATGAAGAGAAAAATATTAAACAATTAGAACTAAGGACATCAGCAATCATAGGTTTACCTAAGACAGGGTTTCACAGTGCAGCTTCAGTTACACCAACTTCCCAAAGCAATCTTGTTAGGAAAAACAGTGACTTTCTCCATGCTTGTTCCCCTAGGTCTCGGGTGTAACACTACTGTTTTGGGTCCAAGTAAAACTTTACTTTGTAATTGACCATATTTGACAAAGGTCTGGGGACTCTTTAAGCATCTCTTTATCAATTTACTTCTCTGTTTCTCAAGTGTGATATAATGAACAACCAGGATAGTCAGTTTAGTACTGCCAATTTAGCAGAGTAACTGTAAGAGGACAAGATTAATTAAAATGATACCTAATTGGTTCCAATTACACATGCATATAAAAACACATATGTGTGTACACATAGAAGACAAACAATGAGAAACACATGTTAGGGATTTGCCAATTCTCATTAAGCACTCTTGGCCAGAAATGTAAAAAGAATAGTCCTGTATCACAACCTCCCTAATTATTATAACAAATCTCTAACCCACTTAAGTGTTTTGATAAAGCAGGAAATTTTATGCTCTGAATTCTGTGAAGAGTGAGTTAGCTTGGGAATGTGTCAGCTGTCTCTACTGAATCAGAAGTTAGTGACATGCACAAGGCCAAGAAATAGCATATGAATCTTGAGAAGTGCTTATTTTTCTAATTTTGCTACAAAATATTAAAATGTTCAGAAAAAGACACCACATTTTATGAAGGCTTTCAGACATAGTTTTCTTCTTTTCAACAAGGATCTCATTAAACCATATCAATAGAATCCTTACTTTTGACACTGGTGCACTTCTAAGGAAAGCCCATCTTGGGCGCACTGAGAGCATCCTTCTGTGTTTTTGATCAACTTGCTCTTGTTTTATTTGTAACTATGGAGTCTGTACTCACAAGTTAATAGTTTTCCTATCTTGTAGCACAGTGTTGATAAACAATGATAACTTATAGCTGACTATTTCTTATCCTGCCCTGCCCTGTGAAGGTGTTTTATGCACGAATTACCAATTCATCATTTATCTAATGTCAGCATTGAATCCCTTTCATCTTTTATCAGCATTTTCCTGGTATTTCTCTGTTCACTTTGTAAGTACAATATGTTCGTTCATTAAGCAATTTTTATGAATCAACTCATTATTATTTGTGAGTACCATTTACATGGCAGGCATTGTTGTATACAACAAAGAAAAAGCTCAATGAAGTATCTGCTCATGACATTCACACACTAGCCACAGCGACTTCTCACTAGCTATCTAAATTAGCTGAGTACTTTGACTTTATCTACAGCTTTCTGCCGCTGGTTATGAACCTATGTGTAATATCTCAGTCTGACCATGGATGACAATAATGACCTTTTGGCAGGCTTTCTGGAGAAAGCTGCCTTCCTCAAGACAGACCCAGTGCACAGTCAAGACTATAGTCTCCCAGTCTCTGAAGGGAGTTGCTGTCAAGGTCTTGTGCCTGGATAACCATGCTCTTGCACACTAATTATTTTCCTAGTCCCAGAATGTTCATTTACTATAAATGAATTCATTTCTTCATTTGAAAATATGCTTATCAGAAATCACCTGCTAGAGAGAGGAGGAGACCTAGAGAATTTTCCTACTCAATCTCTCAGTACCACGCACGTTTCCACTTCTTGGCCTCCCACTCACTGTGTCCTCACACCTTAAGCAAGGTGACAGCCTCCACCTTCGTGCGGATCCTCGGGGACACAAGGTAAGTCAGTGTTTTCTCTTAAGTTAGATTCTGGGGAATACTTTTATGACCTCACATGTTAAGTGAAAAGTCAAACTCATACAGGCAAAAAGTAAACTGGTTGAAAAATAGTGGTCGAGGAGTACCAAGCTTCAGGTAAACCACCAGAGTGAGTTTGGGTGATGTATTGTACAGCATGGTGATGTAGTTTGTACCTGCTCAGAAGTCTCACACAAAGAAAGAATGTAGACAGAAGAATATGCCAATTTGCTCAACTTAACAATTTCGTAGCATAAATATGTGAATACATAAAAGTCATGTATCATACACACACACACACACACACACACATACACGTTATTTCTTGATTGTACTATAAAATAAAAAGATAGTCTTATTCCCTTACAAACATATGCATTGATATACTGATTCTCCTTCAAGTGAGCTAGAAGTGCTTTCCCCAACCCTTTTCTTGTTTCCAATAATTTTATATAATTATAGTTTACCATTATTTATTAAAGCTAACAAGGAAATATAATTAAAGCTTGAATGCCTCAAACTTCTATTTGTACATATCTGGGCATCTCAACAGATCCAAATATACATAGTTTCTTATGATTTCTCTTAGAGTACAGCAGACAGGATATTAAATTATTGAAAGTAAAACATTCAGTGGGTACTATACGGATAATTTGTGATTTGAGTTATATTTGGTTACATCTAATTTAAAATATTTATTTATTATATTTTATATTAAATATTGATTTTATAATGAAGTTTTTAATAAAATAACCAGTGGACAAGGAAAACGAGGCCCTGTATCCGGGCCTGCCTTCCAGTGCCTGGGGACTGTTACAGAGCCTCCCCTCCCGGGGGGAGCCACACACTCCAGATACCTGGCCTTCTCTTCTACCAACAGGACCAGGCAAACTGGGACCTGTAACCGGGCCTGTCTTGCAGTGCCTGGGGACTGCCTGGGGACTGCTACAGAGCCTCCTTTCCTGGTGGGAAACACACACCCCAGATTCCTGGCCTTCTCTTGAACCAAGGGGACCAGGACTAGGGACCAGGAAGAGGAGAACTACCAGAGTATTGGACTTGCTTGCACCCACCAAAAGGGAACTCCATTCTCCTAACCACCAGACCAGTAAGGGGCTCTTTCTGCACCCACTAGAAGAAGAGATGGGAAAGAGACAATACAAAAACACACTCAGCAACAGAAAAACAAATATGACACCACCAGATTCTAGAGACTCCACACCAGCAAGACTCCAACATTGCAATGCAAATGAAGCAGAAGAGAATGACCTTATAAACAACCTCATGAAAATGATAGAGGCCCTAAAAGAGGGTATAGAAAAATCCCTCAAAGAAATGGAAGAAAAAACAAACCAAAAAAAATTCAAGAAATTAAAGAAAAAGCAAAGGAAAACTGCAAGAAATGGAAGAAAAAGCAAACCAAATATTCGAGAACTGGAAGACAAAACAAACTAAAAATGCAACAAATGGAAGAAAAAACAAACCAAAAAATTAAAAAAATAAATCAAATGGACAAAAAGACAAAGCAAAAACTGCAAGAAACAATTCAAACAGTATAAGGGTTGAAAACTGAAATAGAGACAATTAAAAAAAACACAATCTGAAAAAAGGCTGGGAAGAGAAAAGCTGGGCAAATGGTCAGGTACTACAGATGCAAGCATAACCAACAGAAAACAAGAGATGGAAGAGAGAATCTCAGGTGTTGAAGATACTCTAGGAGAAATTGATTCATTGAACAAAGAAAATCTTAAGTCCAAAAAATCCCTAACACAGAACATCCAGGAAATATGGGACACCATGAAAAGACCAAACCTAAGAATAATAGGTATAGAAGAAAGTGAAGAAAACCACCTCAAAGGGGCAGAAAATATATTCAACAAAATCATAGAAGAAAACTTTCCCAACCTAAAGAAATATATGCCAATTAAGGTACAAGAAGCCTACGGAACACCAAATAGAGTGGACCACAAAAACAAAGTCCCCTCGACACATAATAATCAAGACCCCAAATATACAGAATAAAGAAAGAATATTAAGAGCAGCTAAGGAAAAAGGTCAAGTAACATATAAAGGCAAACCTATCAGAATCACACCTGACTTCTCCATGGAAACTCTGAAAACCAGAAGGTCCTGGATAGATATGCTACCAACACTAAGAGAACATGGATGCCAGCCCAGACTACTATACACAGCAAAGCTTTCAATCACTTTAGATGAAGAAAACAAGATATTCCATGACAAAACAAGACTCAAGTAATACATATCCACTAACCTAGCCCTACAGAAAGTTCTGGAAGGAAAACTCCAACCCAAGGAAGTTAACCACAACCAGAAAAACATAGGCATTAGATAATCCCACCTTACCAACAGTGAAAAGAAAAAAAAAGGAGGGTGGAATTCCACACATAATCCCACCAACAACAACCATTCCAAATCAGAGGAGAATGAGCAATCAATGGTCATTAATATCCCTCAATATTAATGGTCTTAACTTGCCCATAAAAAGATACAGGCTAGCAGAATGGATTCTAAGACAGAACCCATCCTTTTGCTGCATACAAGAAACACACCTCAGCCTCAAAGACAGACATTACCTCAGAGTTAAAGGTTGGGAAAAGATTTTCCAATCAAATGGACCCAAGAAACAAGCTGGGGTAGCAATCCTAATATCTAACAAATTAGACTGTAAAATAAAATCAATCAAAAGAGATGAAGGAGGTCATTATATACTCATCACAGGAGAAATCCACCAAGATGAAGTTTCAATTCTGAACACCTATGCCCCAAATACAAAGGCATCCACGTTCATAAAAGAAACATTACTAAAACTCAAATCACATATAAAGCCCCACACACTTATAGTGGGAGACTTTAACACCCCACTTTCACCACTAGACAGGAATACCAGACAGAAACTTAACAAAGAAGCAAAGATTCTAATAGAAGTTATGACCCAATTGGGATTAATAGACATCTATAGAACATTCCATCCAAATAAAAAAGAATACACCTGCTTCTCAGCGCCACCTGGAACATTCTCAAAAATCGACCACATATTTGGCAACATATCAAACCTCAACAGGTACAAAACAATTGGAATAGCTCCATGCATCTTATCAGACCACCATGTGTTAAAATTAGAATTCAACAACAACACCAATTGCAGAAACCCTACAAACTCATGGAAATTGAATAATGCACAATTGCACCACTCCTGGGTCAAAGAAGAAATAAAAAAGAAATTAAAGACTTCCTAGAATTCAATGAGAATGAAGACACAACATACCCAAACCTATGGGACACTTTGAAAGCACTGCTACGGGAGAAGTTCATAGCACTAAGTGCCCACATGAAAAAACTGGAGAATAGTTATACTAGAGAATTAACAGCACAGCTGAAAGCTCTAGAATACAAAGAAGCAAATTGCCCCAGGAGGAGTAGACACCAGGAAATAATCAAATTGAGGGCTGAAATCAATAAAGCAGAGACTAGGAAAACAATACAAAAAAATCAATGTAATGAAGAGTTGGTTCTTTGAGAAAATCAACAAGATAGACAAACCTTTTTCCAAACTTAACAAACAGCAGAGCGTGAACATACAAATTAACAAAATCAGAAATGAAAAGGGGGACATAACAACGGACTCTGAGGAAATTCAGAGAATCATCAGATCATACTTTGAAAACCTGTAATCCACAAAATTCGAAAATTTAATGGAAATGGACAATTTTCTGGATAGCTATCACTTGCCAAAATTAAATCAAGAACAGATAAGCAATTTAAATAGACCTATAACCCCTATGGAAATAGAAGAAGTCATCAAAAGTCTCCCAACCAAACAAAGCCCAGGGCCAGATGGGCTCAGTGCAGAATTCTACCAGAAATTCAAAGAACAGCTTACACCAATTCTTCTCAAAATATTCCATGCAATAGAAGCAGAAGAGTCTTTGCCAAACTCTTTCTACGAGGCATCAATAACCTTGATACCCAAGCCACACAAAGACACAACTAAGAAAGAGAACTTCAGACCAATATCCATCATGAACATCGATGCAAAAATACTCAATAAAATACTGGCAAATCGAATCCAAGAACACATCAAAACAATCATTCACCACGATCAAGTAGGTTTCATCCCAGGGATGCAGGGATGGATCAACATACGAAAATCCATCAAGGTAATCCACCATATAAACAAGCTGAGAAACAAAAATAACATGATCATCTCACTAGATGCAGAAAAGAGAAGAAGGTCAAACTTTCACTATTTGCAAATGATATGATAGTTTACATAAGTGATCCAAAAAACTCTACCAGGGAACTCCTACAGCTGATTAACACCTTCAGCAGAGTGGCAGGATACAAGATCAACTCAAGAAAATCAGTAGCCCTACTTTATACAGATGATAAAAGGGCTGAGAAAGAAATCACAGAAACATCACCCTTTACAATTGCCACAAACAACATAAAATACCTTGGGGTAACACTAACTAAACTAGTGAAAGACCTGTATCACAAGAACTTTGAGTCTTTAAAGAAGGAAATTAAAGAAGACACCAGAAAATTGAAAGATCTCCCATGCTCTTGGATAGGTAGGATCAATGTAGTAAAAATGGCAATCCTGCCAAAAGCAATCTACAGATTCAATGCAATCCCTATTAAAATACCAGCAAAATTCTTCACAGACTTGAAAGAACAATTCTCAACATTATATGGAAAAACAAAAGACTCAGGATAGCCAAAACAGCCCCGTTTAACAACACAACATACAGAGGCATCACCATCCCTGACTTCAAGCTATATTACAGAGCTCTAGTCCTGAAAACAGTTTGGTATTGGCACAAAAATAGACAAGTAGACCAATGGAATCGAATTGAACACCCTGATATTAACCCACACAGGTATGAGCATCTGATCTTCGACAAAGAAGCTAAAAATATACAATGGAAAAAAGAAAGCATCTTCAAAAATGGTGCTGGCATAACTGGATGCTCACTTGTAGAAGAATGCAGATAGATCCATGTCTATCGCCATTTGGACAAAACTTAAGTCCAAATGGATCAAAGACCTCATCATAAATCCAGCCACACTGAACCTCTTAGAAGGGAAAGTGGGTGGTACCCTTGAACAAATTGGTACAGGAGACTGCTTCCTGAACATAACACCAGTAGCACAGACACTGAGGTCAACAATTAATACATGGGACCTCCTGAAACTGAGAAGCTTCTGTAAGGCAAAGGACACAGTCAGAAAGACAAAAAGGCAGCCCACAGAATGGGAAAAGATATTCACTAACCCCACATCTGACAGAGGGCTGATCTCCAAAATTTACAAAGAACTCAAGTAGCAAGTCTCTAGAACACCAAAGGATCCAATTAAAAAGTGGGCTACAGAACTACATAGAGAATTCTCAATAGAGGAGACTAAGATGGCTGAGAGGCACTTGAGAAAGTGCTCAACATCCCTAGCTATCCAGGAAATGCAAATCAAAACAACTCTGAGATACCATCTCACTCCTGCCAGAATGGCTAAAATCAAAAACACCAATGACAGTTTATGCTGGAGAGGATGTGGAGAAAGGGGAACACTCCTACACTGCTGATGGGAGTGCCAATTCATACAGCCACTTTGGTTATCAGTATGGAGATTCCTCAGGAAAATAGGAATCAGCCTACCACAAGACCCAGCAATTCCACTCTTAAGCATATACCCAAAGGATGCACATTCATACAACAAGGGCATCTGTTCCACTATGTTCATAGCAACATTATTTGTAATAGCCGGAACTTGGAAGTAACCTAGATGCCCCTCAACTGAGTGGATAGAGAAAATGTGGCACATTTACACAATGGAGTACTATTCAGCAGAAAAAAAAAAAAACAATGAAATCCTGAAATTTGCTGGCAAATGGATAGCACTAGAAGAAACCATCCTGAGTGAGGTAACCCAGTCACAAAAACACAAACATGGTATGTATTCACTCATTTATGGATTTTAGACATGAATCAGGGGAGTGCCAGCCTACAATCTTACTGCCAGAGAGTCTGGGAAACAAAACCTTTATTCCATGGCTGATGGAAGCAGAGGCAGACTCCTACAGCTAAACACTGAGTTGAACTCAAGGAACCCAGTGACAGAGAGGGAGGACTGATGAGCAAAGGGGTTAAGACTGGGCTGGTTTAGCCCCCAGAAACAGCTGACCTAACAAGGGTTACCTCTCGAATCCCAGACTGATGGCTGGGAATCCAGCATGGGATTGATCAAGACCCCCTGAATGTGGGCGTCAGTGAGGAGGCCTTGGGTAGTAGATCACTATTTATCCCTTGCATACAAATGGACTTTGGGTGCCCATCCCACAATGAGAGATGCACTCTCATCCTGGACTCTTGGGGGAGGGTCTAGGCCTTGCCCTGAGTGAAATGACAGACTATGGACACCCCATGTAGGGCCTTACCCTCCCTGGAAAATGAGTGGCTATTGGGAGGGTTGGTAGGAGGGCGTGGGAGGAGGGGAGGGAAAGGGAAGAGGGGCCTGGGATTGACATGTGAAGCAACCTTGTTGCTAATTTAAATTTTAATTTAAAAATAAAAAAATAAATAAAATAACCAGTGGTACCATTTGCTATCTCACAGAAATTATGGAACCGAACACACCTAAATCCGTTTGTGGAATCAATTCAGAATTATATATTTTGGATATTTTTATTCTGAATGTGTTTATACTGCTACCTTCATGATGAGAAGAGTATATTGAGTCCAGTTGGCCATGATGCTTATGAATTGCACTATTATTAGGTATTACCATATCTTGTACTGTAATCAGGGTCAAAAATCTGTAGCTAGACAGGTCTTGGGTGTTAGGTGAGAAGCTACTACTATTACTCTGCTAAAATGACACAGTACTAAACGGATTCCTGATGATATATTATTATTAGTGCATTTCTGAAGCCCCATCAGAGAAGATGGAGGAGTAGATGGAGGTTAACAGAGACCGATAACTGGTCAAAGTGCAGAGAATAAGAGACTGTGCCGTGTTCAGCCTTAAATGAGACCTCTATAACACACACACACACACACACACACACACACACACACGGAAAGAATGGGGTGTTTATGTTAATATATTTTACTTATTTATTTTTATTGAAAATAATTCTTTTATCAGTTCATTCTGGGCATGATTCCCCCTCCCTCATGTCCTCCCAGATCCTCCCCACCTTCCTAAACATCCAATTACATGCATTCTTTCTCTTTAGAAAACAGGCCAATAATAAAAGTTTTTTTAAAAAAAAAACCACATATACAAAACACCTAAAAATGGAAGTTGGGAACCATATAGATAAGCAAAGCTCAAACTTAAAAAACTCAAACTCAAACTAAAAAAAAAAAAGAAAAAAGAAAAAAAGAGTAGTTCAGGTAGTTCAGTCAAAACATTATAAGACAAAATCTCCAAAAATACCATTGAGTTCATTTTGTGTTGGCCATCTACTACTCATAATCTTTTTAAATCAGAGCCCATGTTAGGTGAACTAAATTAACCCTGACAAGTTTGTTGATGAGCATTCAAAACGTAACAGTCCAGAACCCCTTCCATACTGTTACCATGTGCTGCAAGTATTACATAACTAGTAACCGAATGTGAACCATTGAAGTTTACTGTCACTACAGGATCAAGCATCTGTAAGTTAAGTGTGTTCCTGTCAATCTTTTCTTTCAGAGATCAAAACCTTGACCTCACTCTTTAAGTGAGTTTTTTTAAATAATTTACTCTCTTTTAATAGAATTTAAAACATTCATTCCTCTTCTCTTAAACTTTCATTTTTGTGATTTATTTTCCAAGTAAGCCACAAGAAACCAGTATTTAGGAATTGTTAGAAACATGCATTTTCACTGCTATTATATGTATTAAAATGATAATATATACTCACTTCAATTGTCTTTGCCAGTAAGTGTGTATGAGGAAAATTATGCTTGTATACTTCATTGGCAACAGTGTTCACATCAATAGCAGCCACCACATGTGCAGGGATATGACTTTCTGTAATAACAAATGGAATATCTTCAGAGGTCTTCAATATCAGGTCACCATAAAGAACAGCTGAAATAGCAGGATCCAGCACTGCACTGACTTTCTTCCTTAGCTACCCAGCTTGATCTCAGACCACAGTAAAGTACCAGGCATAGGAGCAGGCAGGAAGTAGGGTTTCCAGCACTACTTCCAGGTGAACTCTGCAGCGTGCTGTGTGCTAAGACTAAGACTTCAATTTTCTTAGATGACAGCCTTCCTTTCTTATTAAGCCACATGTTTATGCCAAACACATTATTCCAAGTTAAATAAAAAAACAGGAACACATAATACACTCTAGAAGCCCTATTATTCAGAATTTTATATAAATAAATGGCCATATGTTCCCACCTTTTCTTATTAAGAAAAAGCTTAATCACAATACCACTGAAAATGCTTTTAATGTAAGTTTATTTTGTAATAACAGCTTCACTGAGATATAACATACACAACAGAAGCAGCCTGCTTAGAGTTTAATTTTTAAATGAGGTCAATTCATTGGTGTCCAAATGTAAAAGCATCAGAGCCTAAAAATTTGACAGAGCATAAGAGATAGACTGAGAAAGTATATCAGCCTAGACACATGGAGGAGGGCCTAGGTCCTGCCCCAAATGATGTGACAGACTTTGATGATCCCCCATGGGAGGAGGCCACACCCTACCTGAGAAGTGGATGGGGGGGTGGGTTGGAAGGGGGGATGGTGAAGGAAATGGAAGGATGGACTGGAGGGGAAACTGGGAGTTTATGTAAAATAAGATTGTTTTTAATTTTTAAAAATTCATTAGAAAGAAGAGGAGGAGATAAAACACTCATATTATGGTACATCTTGCTACCAAGGAAACACATTCTCAATACAGCTTCAGATTCAAAGAATCTGAAAGTACTTTGGTTGTAATTAAAAGTTTGAACTTTGTAAGTATGGCTGTTGCTATACCTCATGGCTACCATCCTGTTACCTCAAACCATGTATAAAATCAATTATGCATAGACATTGTTCAAAATCAGTAGAAAACATGGGGAATTTTAAACATTGGTTAACACAGTAGGTCCAACAGCTCTCTTTAGTAGCCATTTGTTAACTAACAATCCCCTTTACTTGGTCCAGACATTTAAAGAGAAGGAAAATCAGTGTCCAAGGAGCAGTAACTCACAAAGCAAGCCCTTGTGCAGATCATAGAACAAAAGACAAAGATAGACCCCTATGTTTGGAAAGCCACTGAAACCTAGAAAAGAGAAAACAGGGGCATAGCATCTCCAAGTAAATATTGCTTCTAGTAGGCCCAAATCACTCAGCTATCCCACAGGTACTTCCTTTCTGTGGAAAATGACAGTCCTCTGTGTCTTACACACTGGCACTAGACTTCTTAAAACCACAGGTGGCTGCCTCTGACTGACTTTAAATTTAATTGCTAGTTTCTTGATTTAGGCTATAGTTGAGGTTACAAATTATATCCTTGCTTAAAAGCACAAAAGACTTCAATCCCTAAAGCAAAAAGGTTTCTAAGCCAAAAGGTATACAAAGATTAATTTTAAAAATCACAACACTTACTAGTTCTAGCCACTGACCACTATGAGAACTCAGAATTCAACTTTGTTACATGAGATAGATGACAATCTCCATGGTGCAGCTGTTCTCCACCAAAGCAGGCGGGATGGCCTGGAGGTAGTTAGCATGACTTTCATCTTTTTTCAGGTTGACTGAAAATCTAATCATGTGCTGAATCCATATCATAGTCAATAAGTAATTTTGTGTTCTTGTGTTATATGCCCAGAGGACATAAAACCAGACAAAAAGCAACTTCCAAATGAGTGTTTCACATGGAGATCCAAAACCTGATGAACTGAAAAGTGATTCTCAGTTTTAAAGTCAATGGTAAATGCACTGCTCTCAGAGATTGGGCACACACTTTACATAGTTATAAATTAGAACCTACTGCACTATCAGAAAAGTTGTTTCTTTTAGGAAAACACACACACACACACACACACACAGGAAGAGTGTCTGAAATCCAGGCATGTTTCAGATTTTGAAATATCTGTATATACATAGCAAGATAGCTTGAGGGTTTATTACATGTGCGCAAGCCTCTACTCATTGAGCCACTGGTGAACCAACTCGATGGCCATAATTTTATATAAAATTGGTTTCTGGGCATTTTTTTTACTCTAACTAATTATATGTGATCCAGTGGAATTTTTCACTTATAGCTTCAAGTTGACTGTTAAAAAGTCTTTGATTTTGGAACATTTCACAGTTTTCTGTTTAGATTGGGATGCTCATTCTGTACTAAATCATTACTAATACTAACTTCAACTTGATTTTTTAAAAAAATTGTTTAGGTATTTAAAGCATGTTTAGTTATGCTTCTTAGGAAAATTAAACTCTGTATAACAATATAAAAAGCAAGCTGATCAGTTTCTGGCAACATCTTAAACTGGACTTCAAAGAAAGCCATCTTAATATTCTCTAATAAAATGTTCTAAATCCACAGGCTCCAAAAACCTTTGAACAGCAGAGACAAGTTTTGAAAATGCAAAGTTGAAAATGTAGAGGTAGAAAGAATACTCTAGAATTGTGCCATGTGAGCTCCCTCATTTGAGATCCCCAAGTAATTCTCAAAGGAGTTAGAACTGGGAAAGGAACCCAAGCAGGGTTCTGGAAGTAGAGGGAGCGGGGGATGTGCTTTCTGGCCTTTAATCCAATGCTGTGCATGGGTTTCATCCATGACATTTCAGTTAATATTCTGGATTTCATATTTACTAAAGGAAAGCAGTTTTTTAAAAAGGTGAGACATTCTTGTCAGAGAAACACAATGTACACTGTTGTAAATGTTGTAAGGTATGATCTATATGGAAATGACAAGGACATTTATGTTTCCATTTCTGAAGACTGAAGTTTACCTTTAAGTGGCAATAGTTTCCTTCTTTTTCTGATTGAGGCTTCTGGAGAAGCTGCAGGGAAGAACTTAGCTGGTAGTAAAAGGTGCAAATCATTCCATGCCTAATAGATAAACTGCTCATGAATAGTTACTACTGGGAGAAATATCAAAAGTTTTTAAATTAAAATGTAGAATTAAGCAGTTCATGCTGAAATAGATGCTTAAGAACTTTTGTCTTTCTTTATCATCTACTTTCTGATATGGCCCTGATAAATGTTGGGTAAATGTTTGAATGACCTCAAACTCACACCTGAGACATTTAATCAGGTAGATATGTTAACACTGACCTCTAGTTGTGAACTGGTAGATCAGATGAGTATATCCAAGGTCTATTCTTTCATTCAGAGTGACAGCTTAATTGGGAATAACAACACTGGGTATAAGTGGACCTGTAAAGACTTCTAATTTAAAATACTTGTCAACTGGTGCCACTGAGACAATAGCAAAGGTACCTCTGCCACCTGAGCCTGACAATATTCACTTGATCCCAGGAGCCACACAGGGGTGAGAATAGACACCCCACATAAATGGACATGCAGCACATGCCTCCCAAAATACATAAATACATACATACATACATACATACATACATACAATTACCTCCAAATGATTTTATTGCTATTAGCAAATATATTCCCTGGCTTTTCTTAGAAGTTGTTTATATATCTATACTCTAGACACTGTTAAGTAATTATTTGGACACATAAAATGAAAACTAAGACCCTCCCCACTCCCAAGACACCCCCCCCCACACACACATACACTTAATTTCCTCTGAAAGCCTTGCAAGTTTAGCTAACTGACAACCATGTTTCTCTGGGTCAAAGCCCTCCTTAGAGTACTGCTGCCAACACCCCACTGGTACAGAAGGTCACACCACATAGGACTATGCTGAGATATGTGGGTAAGATCTGATTACACCCTTAACGCTGCATCTTAGAACTTAAATATTATTTTTCAATAGAATTTAGAAAGACAAAGAGGATATGAAGAAGTGTCATGGGAGAGAGAGATGACAAGTCACCGTATAAAAAGGAACACATGAGGAAGCTTAGAGGCATAAAAAGTAAAGATGTCACATTAGAAAATACAACACAGTTCAAAAATGCAGGGATGAATTCTGAGGGGAACTTGAGAAAGGAAATTGAGACACGAAAATTCTTTTCCCGGAAGTGTTTCGGAAAGTTCAATGAATGAAGTGTTCCTGTGAAGAAGCAGCCACCACAGCCCCCCTTCCAGACCCACCTTGTTCCTGTCTGATACTCATGCTGCCCTGGAGCTGTCCTCAGAAAATCAACAGAGAACGGTCACTCAAAAGTCCGTTTTGTCAGGCCCACAGAGTGTGACACAGCACCGACACTATCCTTATCTTTAGGGTTATGGAGTCTTGACTTCCCAGGGCAGACACTACCCCTAAAAATTTTGTATCTAAATATCGGTAGCTGAAATTAAGAGTTGATCTGAAACAGCTCCTCCATCCAATGGGACTCTATGATGGATGACAACAGGGACATTCCACATTTGCATGGTCTGATATGATACACATATGGGTGGGTAGTAAGCATTCAGCCCGAAACCAGCGCAATTAAGGACCTAAATTTCTCTCTAATGTCATCTTAATTTAAAAGTAAACAGCTGCATTTGGCTGATGACATCCATACTGAGTTTATAAACACCAGGCTCATCAAGAGACACCCTGGCAAGCAGTCAGCACTGCACAGTGGGCAAACAGTGGAAGGGAAATTCATGTTGAAATTCTCACAAGCTACACAGTGTTGGGAAATAAATGTACTAATCCTCTGAACTTCAATTACCTCGTTAATGAAATGGATATTTAAAACAGTTCCCATAATGGACTCCTATTAAAAATAAATGAAACAGAGTCAATAAAATCTCTAGCAACAGGAGATACTCGGTATTTATTAAAAATCCCACCCACCACTTAGCATTTATCTGAAAAAGTTACAGACAAAATAGTAATGGTGGTGGTATAATTTTTATCATTATTAAAGCTAGGAAATTAGACCAGTGAGA